CCAGAAGGTTTCCATTATCTCACCACTGTAGATCAGTCATTACAGGTGATTCGCAGGATGGGAGGTAAGTTGAAATGGAAAGCTCCAACCTATTTCAGTTCAGGTTCTCACAGATGGTTAAACCCACCGATCTAGCCATCGGCCTTTGCCCCATCCTCCATTAGGAAAACTGATTAATTTTTCTGCTGGCAGGGATATTCAGCAATCACTGCACCTTATTTGTTTCCACAGTATACTCTTAAAAGAAAGTCCATCCACTGGCATTGTTAACGAAGCTGAACAGAGATCAGCTATGAATTTATGCTGGCATACTTTGTGCTGACTCAGAGCCTGGAAAACAGCTGTCTGAATGTGCCCCAAGTCTAGGAACATTCCATATGTGAAATTAAGTGAGTTTTCCAGCTGATGTTATTTGATTAGCAGTTATATTTAAGAACTAGAAAACTGTAGAAATTTCTCCATAGCAAGAGAAAAAAAAAATCAAAAGGTGGTCATTTTTGCTGGAAAACCTGTAATTTGTTTATAAGAACGCATGTGATAGATCTCCTGACATTTCTTCTGAAAGAGATCTTTACCTGAGTCCTAATTATTTCCTCAGTGTCAGGATTATAGATGGAACTTGGATTTCCCACCTCCAGATAAAAAGAAAACAAGCAGATTCAAGGCTTAGTTCTTTGTTAAGTTATAAAATGAACTGGTGGAGAGGCCACTGAGAAAGACTATTATAAAAAGTCATAGGGCATTCATGGGGTGAAGGGGGGCAAGGAAGGGCAAATGATGATACATGTGTGATGACATCATGTTCATATTGTCATCTATGCCATTCTGGTGTCTTATGGATGCTACTGGACAAAACAGTGATTTGTCTCAGCTGAACAATAGTGGTGGGCCCACCATCACTTCCGCGTTGTTCTTCATAATAAAACTCTGTCCTTTGTTGCTGATTCATATGTATTTATACCCTTTCATTTTTCACACTGGTGCTACCATCTCTATCCAAAGAGACCACTTTTTCCTTAACAACAACAACAACAAAAACTGATTTCACTTGTTACATTATCAAAGTATTTCTGTATCAGAAATAAATTTGCTTGGATTTCTTTCCATATAAAAGCTTGGAGATCATTTAACAGTGGAAGTAGAGAGACACTGAATGGAGACACTAGCAGCTCCTCTCTTGCAGCAAAAGGCTTTCGAAGTGTCCGGCCAAACCTACAAGAAAAGAAATCACCAACTCAGGTAAACAGGAAGCTACGTACACTCACCTTTCCACTTCCAATGCTGTGATTTCACAGAAAGAAGGAGTTGTTTCCTTTGGATGAAAGTTTCCTGGATGCTTTCCTAACCTTACTTATATTAGTCAGGTGTATGTCTTGGCTATATGGACAAAAATTATACTACTTACACACAGTTTGTCATTATCTCCTACTCTAAATTTGTTTCAGGGAGTAAAGCATCCAGCTATGAAACCTCCTTCATGTTAAAAATATAGGTGTAGACCTCTTTTTCTAAAAACCCTGTTCCATCCTCCTGTGATCAGATGTCTTCAACATGCATTAAACTGAAAGCCCACAATTCTCAGCCTTGAAAATGTGTTGTTCAGCACCAAGTTAGGAGAAGCTGTTTTACTGAAATGATGTATGTTTCCAAAAATGGAGTGATTTGGGCCTAACAATTCTAGGGAAATTCCATCTTTGACTCTGAGCAGAGTTGTACTCCCCTGCTCAGAGGTGACCAACAATTTGGGAGTTCTCCTAGAAATATAGCTGCTTGAGGAGCAGGTGGCAGTTGTAGCTAGGAAGACTTTTACACAAGTACAGGTAGTCCTCAACTTACAACCACAGTTAGGACTAGAACTTCCATTGCTCAGCGATGCAGTCGTTAAGTAAGTTGCGCCTGATTTTATGACCTTTTTTGCCTCAGTCATTAAGTGAATCACATGATTGTTAACTGAATCTGGCTTCCCCCATTGACTTTGCTTGTCAGAAGCCCCTGGGAAGGTCACAAATGGTGATCACATGACCCCTGGACGCTGCAACCATTGTAAATACATGCCGGTTGCCAAGCACCCAAATTTTGATCACGTGACCATGAGGACACTGCAATGGTCATAAGTGCAAGGACTGGTTGTAAATCACTTTTTTCAGTGCCATCATAACTTTGGTCGTTAAACAAATGGTTGTAAGTCGAGGACTACCTTTACATCTTGTTTGCCAATTGTGGTCTGTCCTGGACCAGGAGGCCATACTTACAGTTAGTCATGTCCTAGTCACCTCCCATTTAGATTATTCTAACACACTGTACATTGGGCTGCCCTTGAAGAACATCTTGAAGCTTTAGCTGGTGCAGAATGAAGTGGCCTGGCTAGCAATGGATGTATCTCAGTATATTCAAGTGGCCCAACTTCTTTATAAGCTGTGTTGGTTACCAGTTGGTTTCCAAGTGTGATTCAAGGTGGAGTTGTCATTCTTAAGGCCCTACGTGTCTTCGGACCTGGTTATCTGAGGGACCATATTCTCCTGTATTAATCTGCCCATCCAGTCAGATCAAGTAGGGACAATTCCCACTAGGTACTGTCTCTGTGAAACTGTCACTTGACAGGTCTCAGAGGTGGGCATTCTCAATCATTATTCCAACTCTTCCAAACTCCCCCCCCCCAGTAGAAATTCTTATCCTTCCTAGTCTTCAGGAAAACCTTGAAGACTTACCTTTTCATCATACACAGGAGATGGGTGCTCTTTGATTGGAAGGTGGGGTTGCAGGCTCATGATATTTGTATTTGTTGGAAGTTTGTATGTATGTATGTATTTATGTATGTAAGTATGTATGTATGTATTTACATATATTAGTAGTTTGGGAGGTATTTTATCTGTTTGCATTGTTAGCTGCCTACAGCGTGCGGGAATGGGCAGCATACAAGAATTGTAAGTAAATAAGTAAATCAATAATTTGGGGGTATGTGCACGCACACACATACAGTTTTCCACCAGAATAGTTTGTTGCTTGCATGATCTGTCCCATGCATGTGTATTTTTTCTCTCTGCCTTACAGTTCTGATAACCAGTAGTATTGCTCTAAAGGTAAAATATCTTATATTCATATTGTTACACAGAGAGTGTTTTTGATGCAATCCTATCTGCACTGAATTGAGTAAAAGCCTCATTCAACTCCATGTTGCTTTTTTAAAGGTAGAGATGTAGGGTGTCAGTAAATATGTACTGATTTTCCATCTATCAAAATAAAATGTTTTCATCTGGAATGTTGTATTTCAAGAGCAGTGGTTGCTATGCCTGTGTTTATATTGGTGCCTAAATTTAAAAAGACATATCTTAACTCTGTTTACTTTCCTGCTAACATTTTGCTTTGTCTCTTTCTCCTGTAATATTCTTTTGTTGTGTGGATGCTTTTGGCAAATAAGGCACCCCCCCCGCCCCCTAGGAAAGAAAGTTTTGGTAGATCTGGAATAACTAATCTGAAGAAGAGTGGAAGTAACTCCTATTCCATAACAACCAACCAAACTAAGACATATCCTGATGCTGCCTACTCTACTAACAAGGAGTTTCTTCAGAGGACAATTTATTCTAAAAAGTCTAACACAAGAATGTCTTGCACACAAAAAAGCACAAAACCACTGGCCTCGGTTTCTAGCACAAAAACAATAGCTGGCATTAGAACTATTGTTCATCAAGGCCACAAACCGTCTCCAAAGCGTAGAGTTTCTACCCTGAAATTAACTCAGGCACAGAATGCATCTAGTAGTGTTCCTTGTCGTACACAGCAAAAGCCTGAGTCTGTTGGTGCCTCAGCAGCTCCACGGAGGCCTGCCTCACCTGTCTGTAACCCCGTGCCTGAGATACACAAAGCATCTCTCTCCATTCAGATAGCTCCCATCCCTGATTGTAAAGCAGCGCCTGAATGCCAACATCATCCATCCAGATTTTCTCCAGAAACTTCAAAGATGCCACCAGAAAATATGCAGCAAATGTCTGATCCTCCGCCTGCACAATGCCATGTGGTATATTATGTTTATCTCTTTCTCTCTCTTTTTAATTTTAGCTCTTTCTTGTATCACCTAACTCTTTTCTCTTTAGCATACTCACCTGGTTCTGACAATGTCCACAATTCCTGGGTAAAACTACCTGTCACAATAATGAAAAATCCATTCCACTGTATTACTATTACTATTACTATTATTATTCATTCCAAATACATTTCCAGCCCATCTTAGTCCAAGGAAGGGAGAGAGGCAAAGAGCATAATATGTTTCAGTCATATAAAGAGAACATTTTTGTGTTCTAGAGGGGGCAAAATTGTGATCAATAGAAAGGACACTCGATCCAAAAACAGATTATGAACTTTCTGATTGTCATTAATTGGCAGCACTGCCCATTTTGAAAGGCAGTGCCCAGAATCAAAAGAGTCACCTATTGTCTCCTATGCTTACATGGAAAGATTTCACCTATCCCTTTCCCACACAGTTCAAGTTGCATTCAAAAGTTAGGAGATACAGCAATAAGGCATTTCATTAGAACAAGGATTTAGCACTGAACTAGGAAATCAGTGACTTTGTTCCCATTTTACAGAAAAATATATGAATATTCCAAACAGCATTTCAGCTTTGCTGTGTAAGATGTCTATGTTCTGTATCTGCACTATTAAAACAGGACATTCTCAGGTTTCTCCTTTTATTGCACTGAAGTAACAAAAGGGAGGGTGGGCAGGCATCCATACTTTTTTGACATTTCTCCATGAAGTTCTCAATTCTCCAGAGAAGGTCGTAAACTGAACAGTAATGTATGTATTGATTTTGAATGAATAGGAATAACTGTTAATAGTGAACGTGGGCATATTTCACTTGAGGCTGTTGTGGTAGTCATGCTTCTTGGCAGAGAAGAGCAGGTTTTAAACAATTCCTATTTATGCATCAATGAGAAAATACCAGACCAACCAATATAGTACATCTGACTAAAAGCAGGATCATTTTATAAGTCCAGTAGTTAACTCCCTTCTTATTTTAAAATTATGTTAACACTTTCTATTTAAAGTGTACTTAATAATGTCTGACTCCAAGGCTATTTTTCAGAAGAGTAATTCACTGCTAGATTGAAGTAATACATAGAGCATTTTTGTGAACCAAGGAATTTAACTATCTCTGAGGCTGATTTTGAAGATTAATAGTTAATTAGTTATATGCCATTGAGTCAGATTCAGTGCCTGGTGACTGCATGGACAAATGCTCACCATCTTGACCTTCTTTCATAATAACTCATAGCTGTTCCAAGGTCATTCCAGTAGTCTCTTTGATCCTGTTCATTTATGTTATCTGTTGACTTCACTTATTCTTCTCTCAGTGTCCCAGTCATAATAATTTTTTGAGTTTCTGCTTTCTAATTGTCATATCAAGGGAGCAGTCAGTTTTTATTTGGTTCAAGGCTGACTGACTTGTTCTTCCTGAGGTCCATGCTGCTCTTAGCAACTGACTCCAGAGTCATAATTCATAAGTGTCCATCTTGCTTCTCCCATTCTTTCTTAAGTGCCCAGCTTTCATATGTTACAACTGGAAAGGCCATTGCTATAACTAATCTTTTTTGCAGTTTATCTTTCATGTTCTTGTCTAAGTTCCTCACTGCATTACTTCATAATATTAATCTCTACTTTACATCTTCAGCATGTTTTCTATTTTATCTATTCTTGGGCCCAAGAAAATAAAACAGCATATAAAATAAACAGCAATAGTAGATAATTTACAGATTAAACCTACTGTTGACTTCTTCATATTTAATATTAACCCAGATTTTTCACTTTCCATTTTCACTTTCAGAATGAGCTCTTCTAAGTCTTCTTTACTTTCAGCTGACAGAAGTTCCCATCTCCAAAGGAAAGTCAATTTAGATCCCAGTCAAGCTGTTCAGGAAGGTGAAGGCAACTAAATTGATGTACCAATTGATAGAGGAATGTTTAAATGAGCAAGAAGGGATTAATCTAAGCAGAAAGTTAAACTGAGCATTTTTCATCATGCTGCTCTATCTCTGAGAAACTGGCATGAATAAAATGTCACATTCTGTGGCTTACGCAGTTAACCAAAAAAGCAAGCGGGCATATTTTTACTTACATTCCCTGGAGATTTTCATTCCAATCAAGAGCTACTTTTAGTGCTCTTCAAAAGTTGCCCAGGTTTGCAAAAACTTTTTTTTTTTTTCAGAAAATCCTTAGTAAAGGATAAGGTCCAGTGTTATTGGAAGCATGAAAAAAACCACCTTTGGTTCACACTTCTTTCTCTTGCATCACTCTTTGCATTCCCATTCTACTGCATAGAGTGAAATGGGTTTTAATGCTTTTTATCCATTATGGACTGATGGGTTCCAGAAGACCTAAGGATCTCATAGAATTCATCAGAGGTTCATTTCATACAAGTTGTAGGAATCACTCATGCATATTTCTCCACTTCAGTATAATATGAATCACCACTTTTCAATTTCTGATGAAACATAGGCTCAGCAATTGTATTATCAAATCAAGCATAATATTCATTAAAAACTTCTCACTTAAATTCTTTTCATTTTGATGGGATGGACATATGACAGATTCTGATAAATTCAACACTACTTCAATAAAATTAAATAAGTGCCCAAGGTTATCCATCCATATGAGTGTTTGTCATTATTAA